CCAATCACGGTGACCCTAGATTTTCTTGGTGCAGTATCAACCTCATTTTGACCATTATCAGAAACGTAAGGAATTCGTTTGCGGTTGTTTCTTGAACCTGAGAACCTTATAAGAGTATTTCGAAAGCTCATCAAAGAAAAAATGCTTATAAGAGTGACCTCACTGTTGATCGTCACCAAGATTTCTTACTTTAGTGGACTAATTTGTATCTCAAATTCCTCTTTTGACAATATTTGGTTTGATCATGGGGTGGATAGAACTAGATCGTCCTCTAAATTCGTCTACGTCTCAAGTAGAGTGTTGAATGCTTTCTCTGAACTTTTAACTTCAACTCACCTGAGGACGTACTACACAGCTTTGCGGTAGATCGGTTCAAGGTCTCTCTTGAGAGGGAGAGGTGTTCAACCGAAATTCTCGTGATGAACAGCTCACGAAAAATTTAGAAAATCACACGAAAAAATAAAAAATTTGTGGTTATTATTATCGTCATTATTTCTACTATTGTTTCCTTTTCAGGACGAGAATGAAAATTTCAAAATGAGATGCAAAATAGAACCGAATGGGTCGTGGCGTACTGAGGTTGCCGCATGTATCGTACCTGGGAAAACCGTGGTATCGTATTAGTATAGGCACTATTTACTATTATTATTTACTATTTACTATGGTTGTATTTCGCTTAGTAACCTGCCATGAAAATTATAGAAGGCAGAAAACAAAACGTTAAACAATGTGATTTCAACTACAGCCATAGCTTAACTGGGTTCTATGCCGATTTGCGCTCCCCAGATCAACCCCGCTGACGGGTGATTGCTGTGGCAAAAAGATCGATAGAAATAGCTCAGAGACGTGCGAAACAAAGGACCCGCATAGTGTGGTGGTGAACGCGTTACTCCCCGGAAAGGATAATAGCGCGTTCGTTCCCCACCATAGACACCTGCGGTCCAGAGTTTTGCAAATATCTCAGCAACGTTGTGGTTGTATTTCGCTTAGTAACCTGCCATGAAAATTATAGAAGGCAGAAAACAAAACGTTAAACACTATTATTATTATTATTGCTATAGTTATTATTATCGGTACCACTACTATTACCTTTACCATTGTTACCACTATTACTATGTATCATTGTACTGCTGTGCAATTGATACATGGTATTACGTATTTTATAGTAATTTCTAAATAAAGCGACTAAAGAACCTTTTAAATCGTTCACGACTTTAGCACTAAGCATGATTATTGATTAGAATGAGATTTTAGAACGACGTTTTCCATTCGTAGGTCTGAAATACTCAGAGTTTTCGTAGGTGCCAGTGAACCAGGAAAGGGATGTTGGCGATTATACATGGGAATGCAAAACGAGCGGTAACGGTCAAGTTGTACTTCGGCAAAGATTGAGCGATAGAGCGTCATGTAATGGTCATCCATACGGTGAGCTTCACTAGTCTTTAAAATTATTAAAAGGAAAAAATTGTTATTGCGTGATATCTTCGAAAACACTTAAGAAATGAAAGGAAGAAAGACGAATTGTAAGAATCGCAAGAACCTTTAAATATGAATGTGTCGTTTTCTTGTTCAGCAATCGCGAGGTTTTTAAATAGCATACATTTCCTTCCATGGAAAAACACAATACAATACAACGCTAGCTGACGTTTCGGCAGTATCGCCTTCTTCAGAGCCGCTTTTTCGTGACTTCGAGTCGTCAACCACATGCGACTAAAATCAGCTGTTCTAAACTTCCTCATCGGAAGTCACGAAAAAGCGGTTCTGAAGAAGGCGATACTGCCGAAACGTCAGCTAGCGTTGTATTGTATTGTGTTTTTATGGAAGTAAATGTATGCTGTTAAAAAAACCTCGCGATTGCTGAACAAGAAAACGACACATTCATATTCCAATGCCGAGGTTAAGAGAAAGTCGATCCTGGGAACCTTTAAATATTTTCATAGAAGAGATGCAGTGCAGTAGTTTTCTTTGCCCGAAATCGTCCACCGGCTGGTTTTCTGGTTGGCTCTTCACGAGGCGTGAGGAATTATGGGGCTCCAATGGAAAGTCCCATTTCCCCGATAATTTGTTGGTTGCCCATAATTTGCTTTTAATGGAATATTGAAAGTCCCTCCAGGTATCGTCAATGCCAGAGGCTATGTTGTTGCAATGACGTCGTTGATTCCTGGCAGTGGTTTGCTTGTAACGGGGCCTTCGAGAGGATCTATCTCAGCGTCAGTGAACCCTTGTGGAAATGAGAGGGCTCAACGTACGCTGCAAACGAACTCTAACTCATTCGCACGCCTTCACTATTAACCCGCTGAGATACTAAACTTATGGTGGTTTGCTACTTTTTCACAAACAAATTAGGTAATGAGTTGGAAAAAACTAAAAATTATTTATGCCAGATTTGTTATTTCATTGTTTCCAGTGGTGTTTGTCCTCGGATTTTTAACAATGAACTATCTATCTACGCCACGTGCGCCACATGGTGTGTGTCTTTATCCTCAACGGTGCTTGAGGACCAGAAAGAATCTTAAGCAATAAACTTCAAGTACACGTTTAGCTTAACTAGGTCTAGTGGCTTTTCAGACCATTTCCGAATTATTGCTAACAGCACGGCTAGACTAAAAAATTGGTTGAGAGAAAGGCAAAGCAAGGGGTTCGGTTTGTATGGTGAGTAGCACGTGAACCCACCGCAATTGGTGATCGTAGGTTCCAAGCACAACTGAGGTCTAGAGCTTTTGGCATATTTCAGCATCCTTGTGGTTTTAATCTTTAGTCTATTATGCCTAAAATAACAGCTCACGATAAGTGAACCTTAGTGGTTGCCAAAAATTTAGTAGCACGAGAACAACTCCAATCCATAAGTGACCATCGAATGCGTTGCTTATCGCTCGCGAACATTTTGGTTTCATCTGATGCCTCTTATTTTCCAGCTTACACATCAAACGGAAAAAAAGCCAGTTGTTGTTTAATGCAAAAAAGAAGGTTTAAAAGAGTGGAGTCGTTTTTCTTCTATCGCTTAGTTTAATTAATGGTAATGGCCTAGTATTTTAGAAAGCTTTACTGTGTGAGAAAGAAGAAGACGTTCTATAATATCTTAGCCGTTTTTTCAGTCTCTTTCTCATAGTGGAAATTCACACCGTGAGAAATAGACGAGGTATGAGATGCTTCCAGGTTCACAATGGACAGAAAGATCGTTCCAGTTCAGATGTGGTGAAAGAGGTGTGACGGAATTTATCGGTTGTATTACATCATCTGGAACGTTAATTCCAAACGGTGAGGTGAAATCGGTGAGTGGAACAACGAGTTTCTAGTAGCTCAAAAAAAACATTTTCCTCATAGGTTTTACCATTTTCTTTTTAGTAGAACCCCAATGTGAGTTAAGTCTTTTAAAGTGTAATCTTTGATGTGTCTACAGGTTTTTTTAAGTCGTTTTAAAAAAGTAATTGATAACAAAATGTCTTTTTGTCAGTTTTTCACTGCAGGATATTCAGGTAAAATTCAACTATAATGATGCAGAGATAACGGCAAAACTCCGGACCGAAGGTGTCTGTGGTAGGGATCAAATCCTTTCCGGGAGCTAAACTGTTTGCCACCACACCATGCGCTACCATTTTGCAGCTCTCATCTGCCTATTATTGGTAATAGGTGGAGTTGGCGGCGTGTAGCGCAATGGTTGGAAGTGCCCTGCAATAGACATTGGTTCGATCCCGAGCCACAGGCTCATCAAGCCTTTCATACACCTGGAGTCGGCAGATTGTTACCAAACCTCTCTAGGAGAACAGCAACACTGTCCCGATACATCAGTCGACCGCCACGAGTTATTGTATAGGCATGATGTAGATTCAGTCACCTCTAATCTAATGTGCTTGATGAAGTCACATGCAAAGTCAATATCTCAGAAACTGATCAAAACCGAAAGCTTTATCCTTCATTCTTTAATAGGGTAGATTACCTAGAAGAGATGTAGCGCTTTAGCAGTTTCATTGGGGACCAACTGTTTCATAATATGTTGTTTTTGTTGACAATTACTTGATAAATTATGGGAAACTAGACGATTGCTTTAGTTCGTCTCAAGATAATCCCTAGTTATTAGTTGAAGTTCTTTACACAATTCGTGTTCAAACCTACTTTGAGGATCCAAGCATGTTTTGCATTCAATTCTTTTTATCGCACCACCGTATATCAACTCAACCACTCGAACATTTAGCGGTCAGTTTCGGCGATTGCTTGAGAATTTTTGGTCCTCTGTATGAAACTCGTTGAATGCTGGTTGAGTCAATTCTAAGTGGGATCCCGAGAAAACCATGGCGTTCCCACTTTGGATAGAGAGCTTGCTAGTCCCGAGCAAGTCTGGTACAGATTGAGAAATGAGGGGGCTGGTTCTTCGGAGAGGCGGGGTCGAACGGGCTTGTTGGGTCCTTTTATGGCATCGGAATTCTCTCCACCCTAGTTCAAATCTTGAAACAAAATTTGAAATGTCTCAGATAACATTTAAAAGCAGTTAATGAACTCTTTATTGTTGCCCACAGGCATATTTTTTCCATTTCATATAGGTGAATGGCTTCGATATGGAATGTAGGAAGCATGCGAATGGTACCGTAGCAATGGGAGTTCTTGGTAGATCTCTTGATGCGAAGTGTAAAGATAACGAAGGACGTGAAAGGAATCAAGGTAAACTCTCTGCAATTTTTTATGGACGAACTAATTCTTCTGCTGATGCCGAAGCATGGATAGTAATTGATTTAAATGGATAGTCGAAATGGCTTAATCGCAGTTATGGTGCTCGCCTCCAGAACCATGTAAACTCGCGGATGTTTGCATTGAATTGTTCACTGCACCACTGCATAACTAATTTCTCTCGCGTCATATATTCCTACATTTTTAATGAAAAATTATGATGCTAAAACTTGCCACACAAGTGAGGAGCACCGTATAAGTGAAAGATCACAAAGTAGAAGAACTAGAAACATCCTACAGACAGGAGCAACGCAATGATTTTTAGTATATCGAGATTCACATAATCGTTGGTTCAACCCACCACCCTGAGCTTTTTCCGTTCGGGTCGTGGAATCGGTGTAAGACTGGTCTAGAAGAGGAATAAAAACCATAACAAAATAAATCGGTGGGCCGTTGCTAGTCATTATATGGGCCAAATATGCAATAAGTAACCTCTACCAGGGTGTGTGGGACAGTGAGATCTCTTTGCTCATCATACCTTCAATTACGCTGGGGTCGGAGAATTGTTACCAAATCTGCCTAGGAGAATAGCGCCTCTGAGAATAGCACCACATCGGTCGGACACCGCGATTTACTGTACAGGCCGAATATGAATTCAATCACCTCCAACGATGCTTAATAAAGTCGAATGCATGGCGCATTCCTCAAGGATAGATCAGAGCTTTATTCTTATCCTTTTTAACCTCTACCATGTATGAATAGAGTGGAATGCACGATGTTTATTTAAGGGATGCCGAATGTCCCATTTTTCTTCGTTTTTGCAATAAAACGTTTGAATAAAAACAAGTCTAAGTGATCTCTTTCTACCGCTTTTCATGAAGATCACTTAAATTTAGTAAGCATCAAAACAAGTTTTCGAGTGGTTGAGAAGTTTAACCGTTAACAAAATATGAAACCTAAGCGTTCATTTTGTAGTTCACACTCAATAATACATAACGGTTTTGATTCAGGCGAGAAATGGATTGAAAACAATTACTTCGAAAAAACCTGCAAGGAGCGTGGACGCGTGGAGATTTCTGGATGCCGAGTGAGTAAATAAGTTATTTTATTTACATTTGACCACCATACTAAAATTCTCTACATATGATAAATGGGAGCGCTCATTTTAGCGAAAAAGTGCTTTTCTAGGTCGACGCTGTCAACTACTTGATTCCAGTCAATGGCGTGGCGTCCGCAGGAAACCTTGAATATCAGTAAGCTTTGACCGACTATTGAATACCGTTGAGATAATTCTTAAATTTTCGAAATATTCGTCATTCGATGGATGCCGGCCTGGATCAGCACTTCAACACCTTAGAAAGGATGAAAAAAGATAAAGCATCCGGATTTAATCTATTCTTGGAATGTGACAAGCGTCCGATTTCATCATGCCTCGTTCATCTGTATCACCCGGTCATCCTGTTCATGCTCTAGTGACCCTAGCAGGCGCCAGTAAATTTTCCATTTTTTCCTGTCACGTGTAAAAGTAGCCCAGTGGGTTCTGCTCGCAGTAGGGACTCGTTGAGCATCACACCTTCCTTCTAGGCTTTTCATAAAGAACTGTGCTCATCGGATCGGGAGTCTTGCTGCAGTACGTTTGACAACCCGAGGAATCCAGTCACTAACGGTTTTTGTCCATCGGTTGTCGTTCATACGTACTATGTGCCCAGCGTACCTTATCTTCGACTGTTTAGTACAGAACAGCGTCTTCGATTTTTGATCGTTGACAGAGGTTTGAGCGTTTGATTCGTTTCCTCACATGTGTGACACGGGATACTCCGTGCGTCGTCATTTCGACAGTGCGTTAATAATGCACTATGATATTTCATCCTGCTTACTCAACGACAAGGATTCCGAGGCAAACGTTAAAGATAGAAGACAGCAAGAGTTATGGGGTCGAAAAGATGGCAAGGAGTTGGGTGTTATTTGTACTCTTCATTAAATCCTCGGCGTCTGTCCAAGTTGTTCGCTTCCTGCTGCTCAGCTCTGGAGCTGAGACGTTTATCATGTTGATTTCACAACCTAGATAGACGTAAATCGGGCATTTGGAGACATTCGTTCCGGTGAGCGTGAACGGAGCATCAAAGACCAATCTTTCCACAGGTTTTATAAAAGTCGGCAATCATTCCGTCCGCATAGCTAATGTATGGTGTTATAAGAACGATGTCATCAGCAAAGCGAAGGTGATGTAACTGCCGACCATAGATTTTCACTCTCATATTTTTCAATTCAAATGTACGCATGACGTTCTGAAAGGTGGCGGTAAATAACTCTGGCGAGATGGTATCGCCTTGCTTAACCCCTCTTTTGACGTCAGTGTTAATATCGTTGTAGAATAGTGATATCCTTGTTGTGAAATTTTTACACAGCTCACGAAAAATTTCTATATACTGAGTAGAGACCTCGTGGCGCTGCAGGTCCTCCATAACTGCTTCTACCTCAATTGAATCAAAGGCCTTCTGTAAATTGATGAAAGTGAGACAGAGCGGTGTTTTGCACTCTCGCGATACTTTAGTGAGCCTCGTTGTCATTTGGATATGGTGCCAGCGTGTTTGTGAGGATTGGCGGAAGGTTATTGAGGTATACAGATCTTTAATCTCAGATCTCAGATCTCTCTTTAAGATCTTCTTTTATCGCCTGTCTGCATTGTTTGCAAGTTCGGACGTAAGATCGCGGTTGTCTGCAGCTCGTGCGATTCCACGCTGGCGTACCAGCTCGAATGTTTCTGGAGACAGACGTCTCTTTGTGACTTTCGAGCTCTCAACTTCCACAGCGCTAACGTGAAGGTGTTGAACGAGTTGATCGTATTCCTCGTCGATGTTAACGAGAACGGTATCTTTCAAACAGCCGACTAGTGAATTGAATAAATCCCAGTTTATGGTGGTTTTGGGACTTCGTTCTTTGAATTCAGCGGCTTTTTCTCGTTTCCACGAAAAATGGAATCTTGCATGAAGAAGGCGATGATCTGATCCTGTGTAGAATTTTGGGACAAAAGGACATCGGTAAGGGAAAACCATCGATTTACTATGATGTGGTCTATTTCTTTACGCTATTCTCCATTGTGAGACTCCCATGTGCAGCGTTGAGGGTGGAGCTTCTGGAATTGCGAGTTACCATGGGTGGCCTTGGTCGTCGCGATAAACTTGGACAGCTGCTCACCCTGTTCGTTCCATTCTGACTCGTGGTTTCCAATGTGACGTTTTGCAGACGTTCTTCTTGGTCCAATTCTGGCGTTGAAATTCCCAATCATGACGCTGAAGAAAGTAAGGTCTTCCCTGTAGAACTTCTTTAAGTCCATATAAAACACTTCGACTTCTTCTTCCTCATAGTTTGATGTCAGCGCGTAAACGACAAAGATTGTCAAAGCCAGAATTGATCCACATTTTTTAAACCGTGAACGTCCGTTTCGGGTTGTAAGTTGCTCGAATGAATCGATGTTCATGGACAAACTCGTGTTGACGAGAACCCCGACGCCGTCGTCTCCTCTACTGTAGCATGTTCCATGGAACAGTTCGTCTACGGTGTTATAGACGACGTAGAATAGGTGGCGTCGTCTCGTCTTCGCCAGGCCGATAAGGTCTTACCTTACCTTTCTTGCTTGCATGAGCAAGCCTTCTGTCGAGGGCTCAGATGCAAGTGTGAGTTCACTGTAAGTACACATAATCACCTTAGTTCTTTAAGATCTAAGCAACTTAGAATGATCCTGAGATTTCAGCAACCTTTCCGTACTCGTCCTATTCAACACTACCGAATTGGACACTCCTTCGGAGTCAGGAAAATAAAGCCGGTTTCTTACTATGTTTAGCTTTTTGGTACCCACGTCTTGGTTGCTGAGCTCTCAACATGGGGTTAGGTGTACCCATGGGTTGGTTGCTAGTCTCTCCCAGAGTGCACATAGAGCTTATTTGCTGGGGGCGACTGTTAACCACTTCCACTGCACTTCCTTGTTACTTTTTTGTTAGTTTTGGCCTAATTGACTTGTAGAATACTATTCGCATAAACGAGGACACCCCCACATACATATTCATTGATAAGGTCTCGTAATTACGGAAAGTATATGTCAAATCGGCGCGGCACAAGCAGTAGTCCAATTCCTGCATTCTTCTGTGTATCAGGGAAGCAATTTCGCTTTTGGTCTGCGATTAACCCCCTATCCCCCACCTAAGGACGGGCAACGTAGCTTGGCGACTAATCAGTTCCAGTTCCCTAATTTGAGGAAGATCCGTAGCACGTCTCGTTAGTGGTGATTAGATGAATATATGGTCTATACAATAGTTTGCGATAGGCTACCACAATTTCAAGTGAGTAATGCTGTGCTTTCACACAAGTCTGGTAACAAACATCGGAACCCAGATGCGTGGAAGGCTTGGTAAACCTGGGTGGCGAGATCGAAATAGTGGTGACGGGTGTATTGCAGAGCACCACTAAGCGCTGTGTTGTACCTGCCTTTACCAGCTAAACTTCATAAGTGGTGTATTAAAACGGCTAGCAGCCGTGTGGTGCCCATTTTTCTCACGGTCCAAGCTTATGTGAATTGATGTGTTTTTAATACGACGGGTTTGGCTTTAACTGTTTTCGGTGGCTAGCTCATGGAGTCGTGCACTAACCAGCGATCACTATGGTTATTGCTTGCAAAATTTCTGAATGAAGATTTCAAATTCATTCTAGAACTTTATAACCCTGCTTTAAGGTAAATTTCTTTCCAAATCGGATTTTAACACTTAGGAAAGGCTGGACATTAGTCAGACCTCATGATGTGCCTGTTTTGAGATCCATGTAAATTAGAGGCCTTGAATTCCTGGCTTCTTTGGCCAACTTCCAGCAATAATATCAGAAGTAGTCTCACCTGAGTGATATCTTTCAAGATGCGCGTGCAGTCATGCCCATAAAGTGACGTTGAAATGGTTTACAATCGTTTTGCTTAACCATTGACTTAAGTTAGCCTACGTGTGTTGTCAAGTCGGCGATTTTATCGTACTAGACAAGCCTGGTGCTATTTGATTCCCGTTGAAGGATTGTGGGCATGATTGACTGGCCTTGGGCCCAGAAGCATGCTACTTGTATGTAGCTTTTTTCTTCAAGGACAGTAGTAGAAGAAACGCAATTACTGTTGTAACCGGAAAATCATCGAATGCCACATCATTAGGCATCGACGGCCAAAATGTTCAACATTATCATATTGTAAACAACGTTGACCTTACCACACTAAACGTCGGTCAATTAGAATAATTAGAATGAATGGCAGCTGTTTATAGCTTTCAACAACCAAAAAGTAAGTCTCTTGAATTCTTTGAAACCTTATTTATAATCTAGGAACTCAGCATGATCACCAACAATATAGAGCCGCAAAAGTGCAGAAGTTAGGAGCGGCATGGAAAGCTTGTGAAAAAAAGTGTTAATGAACCCATTTCTATAGTAATCTTAACTCTTCGTATAAGTGGAAACTTAGATATACTTAGTGGAAACCTCATAGGAAGCGGCTCTGAGGAAGGCGAAATCCGCCGAAACGTCAGCTTAATCGTGAACAAAGAATAATAACACCTCGCGTTTGCTCAACACAAATACGAAGAAAATTTCATCGTATAAGTTTTCAACTATAACTCTTTTAATTCACATATAACACTTTTTCCCTTGAAACTCGCTTACGACGGCAAGATAAGAATGAGAATGAGGACCTCTGAAGCTGGCGCACACCATTCAATCCATCAATGTTTGAGCCAAAAGTAAAATACTGAAACGTAATCTTGTGAGCTTTCGGATCGATGATTTAACTGCATGTACACTTCGGTGTCCGAACTAATCGCACGGATTTTCATGAAGAGAAAAATGATCTGGAAAGAGCTTGCGACACTTTCTACATTTGCTTATTTGCCCATTCACAAAGAACAGTACGTTCGTAACACGAGCGGTAGCGTCTTAAATCATTTCCCGTTAAAAGTAGTTCAAAGATATCACTTGTAGTCCCGTTGATCGTCGAGTGACTCGATGGGGCGTCAGTGAATCATCCATTTTTCTCTGTCGCGTGCAAGAGCAGAGCAGGTTCTGCCCGCTCTAGAGACACTCAAAACAATGAAGGAAACAGGCCTCATTCTCCTGGCCCCGAAAGTTTTAAGGTATACCGTAATAAACTTGTTCCTCTTGCACCACGAGGCCACATATTGTGAGGATTTCATCATTTCCTAAATCTGAGTCTTTTCCTGGTATCCATACCCTATGAA